TCTTTTCTTTGATCAAAAAGCCTTCATTAAAATCCCATAACCATGATTCAAACAATTTGTTACAGAAATTTTTTTGAGATTTATCAACAAATTGAAGTGCTCTAAGCTGGTTGTCTATAAGAAAGAGGACCTGTCTCATAGTCAAAATAACATCTTGTTTATTCTGAGACAACTGAGAGGAAATTCCTTAAAGATCAGTGAATATGAAAGTCAGCATTGGCTGGAAAAGAATCTGCCCCCACTGCACTGCAAATCATCTTCGAGAAGATAAAATAGATAAAATCGATCAGTACAATCTTCTTTGTAACCTCACAGACTACAAATATGCCTTGGAACAGATATGTGTATAAGCCACATCAATAGCAATTGTAGCAAAAAAATCCTTCTTGAAATCCATGGAATAATTACAGGCCCCAGATAAAAGTATCAGTCAGAGATGAAACTGTCTTGAGCTCAGAAAAGCTGACAAGCTGGAACATCTAGAGGAAGAGAAGAGCCGGAACAAGCTCTAACAATAAGAGCAGTGCTCTTATATGGGAAAAGCCTGGTCCAATACAAACAATTAACGACAAGTTAAAACTCTGTGTCATCATTACACAACAATAATAAATGACAGCTAGATCCCACATACTGAATTTATGCTAAACTAAGCTAAGTTCATGATATCTGAATAACTCAAAACAGCAAGAAATTCACTAGTACAGTAAATGAAGAACTCTGCAGCACTCAGACTCATCAGAAAGAAGAGAAAGGGCAAGCATTATTCTTTTCCCATCATCTGTACCATAGCATGTGGGGTGTCTTGTCACGCCAGGTATCAACTGCAGCAAGCATAAGTGACTTTAAGGAAACCTTCTTTAACTAGTTTGATTTTATTTTCAGATAGTACTAAAATAAAACAATAGTATGTAGAACATAAACAGATACTTGATATAATTAATTTGAACCCTGAAAGATCTCAGTCTTTATGCAGAGTACCTTATTGACCTCTGCTAAAAAGGCTTACACAGCTACTCAAGGTTGATTACTTGCATGGACTGCAACACTGCAGAACAAACAAGACAGATAAATTGTTACTGTAATCTATTCAGACTGCAAATTTGTCTACAGCTATGTCTTGTTGGGGTGAACCTGGCAAAAAACCCACAGTGTAGTAGTGAAATACAGTCTAGAGCCTGACATGATGTAAACTACAGTCATCCCGCTGATGTCCATCCAGATTGAAAACTCTACAATGAGACCCTGATTCAAAAATAGATTACAGAACTACTACTGCTCTCTGTCTCCCAGCACATAGTCTCCTCCTTATTCCCTACCCTTCATCCCCTACCTTATTGCCTACCTCCATCATTGTCAATCTGGACATTGGGTCCCACTTCCTCTTCATTTTTACACCAGTGTAGCACCAGTTACCCTAGCATGGCACACTACTCAGAGTACAACAGATCTTTCACATCATTTGAGTAACTGCATATTGACCATCGCCTCCACAGAATTTTTACTGGTCTGTTAATCACAGAGTAATTTGGCAGCAATGTTTGCTCACTCAGGAATTTTTCTGGGGTGGGGTGGTTTTGTGGTTGGGTTTTTTTGTTTGTTTTGCTTTGGGTTTGTTGGTTGTTTTTTTTTAAATTCATTATCAGTCTGTTCCTAAGTACTTGACTATGGTTTGCACACCAAGGACAAGATCCAAAGCACTGCTAATTCTACAGTTGTCTTTCCACTGCAGTGACCTCAGGATCAAAAAGTATTATGATGGTGCTGAGGGAACAGCTACAAATACCAGAGGCTACTCAACACAGGTCATGGAAGAAGTTAGTACAAGGACTTACACTGGGCACATACCTGCTCATTTCCTACACTCCTCTCATGCTCCTACCTCACCAGCACTACAATACTCAGCTTCTTCCATACTCTTTAAAATTCCCCCCAGCTTCTTTGCTGCAATGGTCTCTTTGGTTCAATTTCTGACAAAGAGCATGTAAGCAGCAGAGACATGCTCACACTGATTTGTTAGGGGGACATTAAATACGCTGTATGACTATCAATATTAGACTTGTATATTCTTTCTCATTACAGTAATTAATGCTTGCCTGACAATTTGTAGGCCAAATGATTTTGTGGCTTATTTGGCACCTCACATTTCTTATTTTTCAAGCTGACCATCTTTCCCATTACATTCCATGTCTGTTTTCTCCGAAAGAAGAAAACCCTCCTTACATTCCTGAAAGCAAAACTCATACAAATTGCAGTACTCTACCAGCTCCTTTAACTTTCTAATCCATTTATAATGCACAAATTAATACCACCTTATTGTCTGAACATACATTTTGAAGGCTTCCCTAAAGCTACCACTCAAAACTCAAGCTCTTTCTCCATAAGACACAGAGCCTTCAAGTACATCCTGAGGCTCTTAACATGAGACGCTGCATGCCTATGGTACTCAGTAGCTCAGTGTGCTGCCCAGCACACTCAGACTGTTCAAAGGCAGCTATGCTGTTGGAAGGCAAACGCATACAGAAAGGATTGTGCTGACATGCATTTCCATGCCCAACTGTTGCACCGATACAACCAACGCACGCTATTTCAGAAACAATACTGAAAAATTACAAAGAAAAGGAAACAGTTCTGTAGAATTGCTTTTGCAAATTTTTTTTTAATAAGGCTTTACATAGATACACATCAAAGCTATGTTCTTGCTACCGTCCTAAGCCATTTCCTACACAAGCCAAGTGCAAAAAAATATTTTACTGGATTCAGATTTTTTTACTTCATAATGACAACCCTAACCTTGAAATTATTATTAGCATTATGAGCATGAGGCCAGTTGATAATAAGGTCCTATTGTAATAAGCCCTACCCCTTCATCGAGAGGTAGTAGCACTCTGGAATACACATCAATACTCTGTTGTGAACACTTATGCATCTGAATGCTTCACAACACTTCATGATCGCAACAGGGTAATACTTAACGTTTGGTAAACTGAGGCAGACAAAAGCAAATTCTCCAGCTATGGAGGGAATTAAACTCCCACATGCTGATACTAATCAATGGACCATCCTTGTTTTCAGGACTGAAATGGACAAAATGGATGAGAGAAGAAAGCATTTACCACAAATTGATATCCAAATTACACTCAAAAATTCAGATCTTCTCAGATCCAGTTCATTGCCATTTAGGTTACATCAGCTGTTTTACTAATACTCTCCTACTCAAATTAGGCTTGAAACAAAAGTTTACCAAACAAAAATGTCCGATAATCAGGCAGAGAAGCCTCACCTGAATGAGATAGTGAGAACATAAACTGAGAAGCTCCAGCAGCTGCAAATGACTCCCAGCTGCTAGGACATCCTGTATCACCCCTGGTTCCAACAGGATCTGTAAAGAAGAAAATGGAAGGTTTGTCATGTAGAACTCAGAGTACTTGTAGAAAACACTATAAGCCTTTGTTATTTCAGACATTTAAGTCAACATAAAGAACACAAAGAGTAAAATTAAGCACATAAAGAAGTCTTTGCAGGTTGAGGACAGAGTTTTTGAAGTTCACCTGAGTTGCCCAAAGGATTCTTAAGCATGTTTTCCTGTGAGAGTTCATAAGCCACATTACCCCCTAAATCCTTTAAAATGAAATGCATATTATTTATTTAAAATGGAGACTTTTCAAAATAACAGAACCTCCTTTTGTTATTCATATACCTGGATGTTTCTATATATACACTGATGAATCAGGCCAACAGAATTGCCTCAGAAGTCTCCAAAATTAATACTATTCGTGCTTGTAAAAAATATACAGGAACACCCTTCCCATTCTGCGTGGCACCACTTCATAATTTTCCTAACCACCGTCTTCATTTTACAGAGCAAAGCTGTGAAGGCACAGAGTGAGCATGCTGCTGGGGAAGTGCCAGAAAGGGCTCAGAAACCAAGACTGATTATCCTGTCACTTGCTCACATGAAACTCCTACTCATTTCAATTAAAATCACACACAGAGGCAGCAGCCAGAATAATTGGGCCTCAGCTCCTAGCCTGCTGTCTTGGGGTCAGCTTGTTAGAGCATCCCTCTCAGGACACAAAAAAGTCTTTGGGAATGCAGACACTGGTCAACTTCTTATCAGCAATCACATTACAAACTATTCAAACTAGTATTACTTATATTTAAGTGGTGCAGCATCCAACAACAAACAGAAATGCATGAGAAAAATTAAGTTTTCAAAGACAGTCAGTTTATTCAGAGTTTTATCCTTATTGTATTTCCCCTGGCAACTTTGGTCTCACACCACATGAGGTCAGTCTCTCACTGCTCCAGAGGGAAGTAAAGCTTTTTTCAGATCTTTTTTCTTCTGCCCACACAATTTAGTTTTATCTCACAGTATCATTTATATGTCTCAAATGCAGTGGAATGAGGATGTCATACAAAAGGAAAGACACTCATCTGCCTCTTTTGCAGTTAAACTGTTTCTCAGGAAAATGAAAAAAACATGTATGCATTTCTTCAAGAAAAACCACAAATTATCTCCAACATAATAGATATATTAGGAAGAGGAGAGAAGGGGATTGATTCTTGTTTATATCCAGAGCTCATTTACAGTGAGTTCTGTCAGTGTAAGCCATGCTTAAAGCTTGTGCAAATCTCTCTATATATTCAGACAAGGTTTTAAGTGAACATATATTTAATTTACATACTGTATAAAAGCTCTTTATCTAGCCAAAAAGACATGTAAGTATCTTAACGTAAATAAGAATCAGGCCTAGCTCAAGCCAGGTTTTTGGCTGGTGCTAATGAGGCTGCTCTGTGTGACAAGAGGTAGTTCAATGGAAAGCTAGAAAGGATTTAAGTTACAAAAATACCTCCAATAGGTGTATTTAAAAAAAATGAGCAGCACTGTCAAATATTTTCAAGTGAGAACTCAAGGTCAGACTGACAAAACATGCTGGTTAGATGTTACAGTGTTTGTCATTCAGACATCTCTTACACCGAGGAAGTGGCCATCTGAACTAATCTCATATTACTTACCTAAATAACCAGCCACCACCTTAGCATTGTTAAAGACACAATATGAAGAGAAACAGAACCCTAAGCAGATCACTACCTTGTAGGCATAGACAAACTATATTTAATTGTGATAATATTAATGTATTTTAAATTTACAGCAATCCATTTACAAATAATACTAGTAGCATTGTGAGATGAGAAGTAAGACAAGAAGCAAGGAGGCTGACTGGTTACTACCTAGAGGTGATTTGTACAAAGTCAGCAACAAAAATTCATTTCAAGGCAGCAGACTTATATTTCTTACATATTTTTCCTTTTCTTACAGCTTTCCTATATCATGCAAGATTTAGTCTGCTGAGATAACATATTCACCTTTGTGTTTCCCAAGATAACTGAGGGAAGCCTATTTTGTTTCTTCCCAAGACTTTGCCTTAAATGGAACTATCTGAATTTTTAAATCAATACTCATTTGGATATAGGCAAAAGTACTAATTCATCTGTGCTAAATGTTCACCATCAGCAAACTGCATGCTGGGGAAACTCACAAGAAAAAGAGAACAGTAAGTAAAGAAGGAAGAAAATATTGCAAGCCTTTCTTCTACTGAATCTGGGGTAATCCACAATTATTCCACACCTCTTAGCTTCTATACATTAATATAGTTACTTGATTTTTATTAATTACCAGCATAGCTGTTCATATGCGATACGGGCCATCCGGCTGAATCTGAACAGTAAATACTACCATATGCACACCACAAGTGCACACAGTGACCGACTCTCCTCTGTTTGTCTAACCCTCACAACAACAGCTCTGAGGTCTTCAGAGTGATGCTTACTGAAAATTAAGGAGAGGGAAATTAAGATCTACTTTGGTTCACACCTTCAAAATTCATCACAAATTACTAGTGTAAAAACTAAAGAGAGAAGCTTATTCATTTTCCCTACCTCATCTTCAACCCAAGGGTTACAAGGCATAATTATCAGGGCAGAAACTCAGAGTAATTTGGGACCATCAACTTCAGACAAACTTTGCAATCTTCACCAGTAAAGGATGTGCCTTTGTATGACACATGCCATTTTAAGACTGGTTTCTGTGCTATTTTTGTATTAAGATTAACTAGATGCAACTCAGGTATTGCACCTGACTGCTCCTTACAATCAATGGTCTATTCAACCCTTATTTCTAAGGGTTAATTTTCATTATGCTCTCAACTTTTCTCTGGCCCATAATGCTACTGAAGAAAATCAGCTTAGCCACTCTCTCCCTGTATACAATGGGCAGATCTTGCAGATAACCTGAGTAATTTATTTTCCCAAGCCACCAGATCTGATGTACTGCTCACTTGCAAACTTATCTCCTTTGTCAAGTTCTTTTTCTCCTGCCCCACAATGACTGTGTTTTCCAAAAAGGAATCCTGTTCTTCAAGGCAGCCATTCTGCCCTCCATCATTCCACAAACCCTTCAAAGAGCACACACTAAATCCAGTTCACTCCTCCTTGTGGTCAGATCCATAGGCCAAGGGATAGAAAGGATGCAAAAATTTGGTGTTTCTTTGCAACAGAATGCAGAGTTGACAAGACCCAGAAAGGCAGATTACACAATTTCTTAGATCCATATTTTTTAGATACACTATTTAAATCTATATGGAAATGCATCCACTGATGTTTTGTTGAAATATTGAGGAAAAATGCTCTGCAAATGCAAGAATTAGAAACTTTCATAAATTAAACCTGAGCTTCTGAAACACAATTCTGAGGCTGAAAAGGGAATTCCATTATCAGCCCCATGGTCACAGATATGCATGGCCCTGAACATCCCCCTGTACATCTACCTTTTGGGCAGCAGTCTAAAACTGGGATTCATTCCCCCTAGCCCCAAGTTTTCCCTTTTCCTTTCCCAACTTACCCTGCATACCCTCCAGCCCAATACATCCTAGGGTTCTGAGCAAGCATGAAAAAGAATAACTTGGATCACACATCTCACCTCTCTCTTCAATAGTTTTTTTTGAGATACTTCTTGGCAACACAGAACAACTAGCAGCTGTAACTTCTTGAGCTAGGAGTAGTATACGAACCACCATCCTTTCTCAAGGACAACTACTCATGCCCCACCTCCACACTGCCCAGACTCAGAACATCCTCCTACTCTTTTAATGCCTCCTGCCCCTCTACAACCAACAAACAGTATACGCCAGCAAAAAAAATTGTATGATTGTAGCAAAGAGGCCAGTAATGGACAAAAGAGAGTGAGGAGGAAACTCCTTAAACTCTATGGAGTCTCATGAGGTTTCTATCTAGAAAAAATAATTAGATCATTCAATCTATTTGATGTGTATTGCAGGCTATTATGTTTCATCCAGGCACTTGTAAAGATACTAAACTAAGGCTACTTCAGGCCCAAGGAGGCTAAACTGCATGCCCAGAAAACAACGGAGAGATTGAAGATGCACTTCTACCACCTTCGTTTCAGCTATTCATTTATAGCCCTCTATTTCCTTCTAATTTCCATACAGCTGTTTGTGGGGCTATGGAATAAGTGAAGTGGTTGCATCATCCACATTAAAAAGAAAACAGCATTATGCTAGAACAGTAAGGAAATATGTAACATCATGTTGGAAAATTCTAGAAAATAAACCATATGGAATTTAACACAGAAAACAACAACAACAACAAAAAATCCTAAGATTCCTGCCAGTGATACCAGATTCCATTCTGGTGCAAAAGAAAATTCCTTCTTGACTCCACTTGTAGTGATCAGCATTTCAATCGAGACAGGCATCTAACAAAAGTACTGCTTGTTCTTCCCTTCTGGAGACCATTCTGTGTGCTTCAGAGCAATCAAAAAAAGTAACTTTTCTTTTAGAGCAATTCAGACTGCATTTCACTCACAACCAGTTAGCACTTCTGCCTGTCTCCCTGTTCATTCGTGCTTCAGTTGAATCCTGAGCTCCTAGCACATTGAGAAGTATGGCTTCAAAAAGTGCCAGCCGGGGAAGAATGTTCTAGTCCCCTGCAGGCAACTGCCCAAAGCCCAGGCACGTAATGTTTGATAGTACTCATTACAAAACCCTGATGTCTCATTAGCCAATGCCAGAAGGAATCATGACCAGCATTTCTCTGATAGATGTCATAATATTTTTCCAGAAAACTAAATGAAAACCTGTGTTAAATGCACAGCATATAAATCATAGAATATGTCCAGTTGGAAGGCACCCGTAAGGATTATCAAGTCCAATGCCCAGGTCCTTGCAGGCCTACCCAAAAACAAAACCATACAGCTAAGAGTGCTGTCCAGACACTCCTTGAACTCTGAAAGGCTTGGTGCCATGACCACTTCCCTGGGGAGCCTGTTCTAGTGACAATGTGACAAGTGACCACCCTTTC